ACAAAACAGATATTAGACCGGATCACAAAGAAAAAACAGTTTCTTGCCATTTCAACCAGAAAGGACATTGTCTCAACGACTTAATTACCTGCATCCTGCTTCAAACGCCTTTTAAAACTGCACTTGAAAGGGAATCCTCTGAACTGTTATTCATGCTAAAATTTGATACTTTACGCCAGGGTCTTAACAAAGACTCTAGTTATCTTACCCATTACAAAGATAGCTTCCCCAATTATCACCTCTAATATCATTAGCTCACAGACATTTACCTTCCCCCCTCCCCGCATCCTCCTTCTGTTCTGAAATTTAATTTGTCCTTTTCATATGTGTTCATTTTTTTAATTGTATCCTTTGGTATATATGGTTGTGACAATTTTCTTCCACTATTTGATCTGAGGAAGTGGGTCTGGCCCACGAAAGCTCATCACCTAATAAACCATCTTGTTAGTCTTTAAAGTGCTACATAGTCCTGTATTTTGTTTCAGCTACACCAGATTAACATGGCTACATTTCTATAATTATATTACAGTAGTGTCTCAAGAATCCAATCAGGACGAGTACCCTACTGCGCCAGGTGCTGAATCATGTGGGGGTATAGAAAATTGCTGCAATTCCACGCCTCCATATCCGAAAGTCATTCAGCAGACCAGAGAAAGATAAACAACTGTATTTTCTTCAGGGTGCCAGGGTGGCTTGCCCTTGGGCTGGAGACCCTGGGGCCATGCTAACCGGGAACACAGAATAAGCCTCACCTGAGAGGAATCAATTTCCTGTAAAGAATAGACAATGGCTGCAGTGAAACTACAGAGAATGAGGGAGGCTCCTGTAGGGATGCCTCTGAGACCAGAGGAATTGCTCTTGCTAGGAAGGGCCAAGTTTAGGAGGAGTCCGCTAAGGCAGGGGGATAGACTTGTGTGTTTAGGGCTTGTTTACACTTACCAGGGGATAGGTGCTGCAGCAATCGATTCCCCTAGTGAAGATCTGCTAAATCAACTGTTGATCGTACTGTTGTCAACTCCGATACTCCACTGGAACAAGAAGCATAAGGGAAGTCAACAGGAGAATTTCTCCTGCCAACCCTCCTGCAGCGGAGACCTTGTGGTAACTCGACCTGAGGTATGTCAATTCCAGCTACAGTATTCACATAGCTGGAGTTGTGTAAATTAGGTTGACTTTTCCCTCTAGTGTAGACCTGCCACAGACATGGGAACTAGTGGTGGTAAGGGGGTGCTGTTACTGGCCTACCCCTCAGGGTCCTGGCTTCCTTGCAGTGTACCACTGGCTCTGCTGCCAGCCCCATGCTCAGGGACCCAGCTGCTGCCCTGCACAATGGAGGCTCTGCTGCTGGCTCCGCACCCAGGTTCCGGGGCTGCTGGCTCTGCACATGTGGGGCTCTGCTGCCAGCCCTGTGTGCTAGGGGCTCTCCTGCTTGCTCTGCAACTCAGGGTCCTGGCTTCTGGCCCTATGTGTGGAGGTCCCGCATGCTGGGGGCTCTGCCACCAACCCTGTATCCCGATTCCCGCATGCCAGGACTTTGCTCCCAAGTTCAGCTGGGGGAGGGGGAGAACAAGGTAAGGGGGTAAATGTTCCCACACCACTGAGACCTGCCCTACATTCCCTTTAGGTTATTTAAAAAAAAACAACACCCAGACTCCAAGAAGGGCTGCGACTGGAACAGAGACTATGGATTTTGTTTAATGAGCCCTGGAGAATTGTGGGAAGAAGTACGGGGGGAGGCAGCATGGCCCTGCAGAGTCAGCCCTGATCACACAGAGGCTCTGTGAAGCAGCTACTCATTGGATTGCACACCTGCTATCTCTCTACCAACTTTTGCCTAACTGATGTTTAATCCAGCCCTAGCTATTCCATCATGGAACTGCTGAAAGGAGAATGTAATCATGGAACCGATAGCGGATCTCACCACTGTACTGGGCTATGAAGACAAATCTAGAGATGGCTCTTTAGATTAACTGCAGTTTCAGTGACTGAGGGTAAGTTCACAAAGATCAATAATTTTCTTATTTATAGGAAATGGAAACATATAAAAAGGAGTTGGAAGGGAGAATCAGGAACTCCTGTTAGTAGTGAGAAGCAACAGAGATGTAAAGAAATTCTAATAATTACATGTTGACTCATACCTAGTGCATATTCAGTCCACTTCAGATGTGCACTGACACCTTCCCCCTTCTACCTAAAACCTGAAAGCTCACAGCAGAACATACTGGATGCACATCACGTTCACATTTCTAGCTGGCATGTGGCCTCGAATGGAGAATAAAAAGTTATAAATTCTCCAAGAAGCAAGCAATAGTAACAAAGCAATATGCTCATCATTTTTAGCCTTCAGGCAGAACATAATTTCCATTATAACCTTTCATAAAATGACACATATCTCTTCTTCTTACAAAACAGACAATTATGTTTTTGACAATAGCTGTTAAATGACTAGGTCATTATAATAACTACTGGGCTACGTCTAGACTGGCCCCTAATTCCGGAAAAGTCATGCAAAGTAGGTAAGTCAGAATAGGGAAATCCGCAGGGGATTTAAATATCCCCCGCGGGATTTAAATAAACATGTCCACTGCTTTTTTTCCAGCTTGGGGAAAGTAGGAATAAGAGATCCTCCGGAAAAGGGCTTTATTCCGGAGGATCGCGCCAGTCTAGACGCTTTTTTCCGGCTTTT